GTGCAGATGAGGGTGAGTCGCTCCGCAGGTATGCGTGGAGCAGCAGACACATACCTCCGCTGCGCAGACGACACTCGTCTCGCGCTCCTGCCCCCCTGTGGCTGCTATAGCGTTGGGTGTGCGCGGGCGGCGGGGCCACCCAGAAACCGGGGCGGGTAAGGGCTGCTGCGTCGTGACTAGCTGGTACGTGGACTAACGATATAGGTGATTCGGTAGGAGGATGTCGGGACCGGCATCGGATCCTCCGTCCTTGCTATGTAAAAAATCATGGTCGTTGGTTGCGATATCATTCGCGATCGGAGATCGGTCCGATGGATTGCTGATCGTTGACCCGGGTCTGGGTGGGTCTCGGTCCAGTTCTTTGTCGGGTTTGCTGGAGGAGTTGGTGGGCTACCCACAGCATAGCCTGCGATATTCAAGGACTCGCGATTCGAGCTCCATGAATGTGGAGGAGCTCATGAAAAGTGAGGCCACAAGTGGATCTGCACAACAGCTTATACAACCCGATCAGCCTCGATTTGGACTGGGGAATCACGCGTCTCCATCTCAATAAGGACCTCTTTCGCATGAGCTCAGGGTTTGGAGGACGGCAACTAACTCACCTCTCAGCGCTTCAGCGCGTCCACAAGAATTGGAAAGCCATAAGGCTCCACACAAGCTCGAATTTGAAATTGCCTTCATGCATCCAGAGTCGTAGACGAGCGAGATGAACGTCGACATCCCTCCAAGGCTCACGAAATCATCTTTTCTCCAGTTGAGAATGTGCGATGAGAACCACGCTCGAGCACCTCAGCGGTATATTTCTGAGTTGCAGAGTCGAGAGTCGTCATAGAGACGCGGCAACAAGCACGGTGAATAGAAAGCTCTCGGCCCATCAGCATTCTAGGAGAAAGCGGTGACTGAGGCCTATGCAGCGCTCGCACAGGGATGCATACATAGGAGATGAACAGCTCCTGAGCGTTTTCAATCTACCAATCGACACGGATGAGCATGAGCAAGCGCGCCGAGTCACCCAAGCATGGAGGCCTCGCGTGAAATTTTGTTTGAGTCGGGTTGTTTTTTACACACGAAAGCGGGACCCTCCGCTGCGCGCATGACTACAAGACAATAGAGCCAACGAAGTGCATGATGGAGGGCACCAAAGCTGCTCACCAATAAGCAGCTCACGTCCTTTCGATGGCCATTACCTCAAACGCAAATGAACTGACTGACTTAAAAGAAACGCGAGGATCAGTGTGGCTGTGCAACACACTTTACCGGGGCTGGAAATCACGCGCAGGCGGAGAGCTTCGCCATCAACGCGCTCGCCATGTACTTATCCTTTCCTCTATCTGACACAAGCCCACGCAGTGGTTGTGCGCGCGCTCCATACTCCCAGAGAGACATTCTCTAAAATGTTCGTGATCGACATCTGGAGCTGAAACAGTCGAATGAGGGGGAGGCGGAGGCGGAGGCGATGAACGGGACCCAGCCATCGAATTCTTAAATGAAATTCGGATTACGGGCGGCACGGTTTCGGTTTGATGTTGGCGGGAGGAACGGGGTAGGTATCGTTGCATCGTAGCATATAAGTTACGACGGGGTCGGCGACAGCGGGCGATCCCCACTTGTGTCAGGTCCTGATCTTGTCTGTCCTTGGCTACTTACTCCCTTCAATCTGATTCTTACTCCAAACCACTGCCATCTATGTCCAGGAATGTCTTTCCACGGGCCAACACCGGCGGCGGCGGCGGCGGCGGCGGCGGCAACGGATTGAGCGCGTCGACGAAAGCTTCCATCGCGCTCATCATCCTTCTCGCCCTCTCCTGGGTCGGTGCGCTCGTTTACTACTTTGCTCGGCGCCGCTATCGTCGCAACCGTCGCTCGCGCTTCTCATCCTCGTCGTCAACGGCGCCGTCACTGCCCTGGTTCCATGCCCTACTCGCTTCACTCCGCTGCCGCCGCTGGACCGACCGCGAGCTCGACCTCGAGAAAGAAGCGTTGACCGCTCATGTAGAGCTCCCTCTGCACCGGCCCTCTCTTTCTACTACCTCCGAAGTGAAGGACGACCGTGCCCCATCACGGGGTCGTGATAAGCCGCTTCCCGCAATCACTCAGCGTCCCGCCGTGCCAGCGCTGGACGTCAGCAGTGGCGCGCCAGGTAAGCTGCTCAAGGAGGAGTCGTTCCTGGATCTGTCGCCCGCGTACGAATCAGCGTGCATGGATTCAGTGACGACGCCGCACGCGGAGAACCCGTTCCTGAGGCCGCCGAGCGCTGAGGGCCGAGCACGGGAGCTGGCACCTGCCGTTATTGCGCGCAGGCCGCAGATCACGCCGGGCGGTGAGCGCGGGGACGGGGAGTTGGAGACAGCGTCGTGGGTGGACTACGTGTATCCAGAGTACGAACGGGACAGCCTGCATTCCGAGCCCTCCTCCGCTTCTACCGTGCGCCCCTCCCTATCTCCCATCGATATCGCGTATTCGGCACCCCCAACTGACGCCCGGCCCCGTTCGCGATCGATCGAGCTGCCGACGCCGATCCTCTACCGGTCCGATACAGAGGAGCGTGAGGCGAGGGAAGACGGCGACGTCTGGGACCCGCGAAAGTCGCTTGCTGTACCCATGAGCGCGATCAGCTGGAGCGACAGCAGCTACTACGGCCCCACACCCAGCACCGCCTCAGTCAACATCGACCAATTCCCAATGCCGCCATGGCACAGGGCCGAGGATGTGCCACCTGTCCCTCCCTTGGCCGTCAAGCCCTCCAGTACGTCTCGGGTCATGGCAGACCGTGGTGTTGCTCCCTCGGCAGCATCTGCTCCGTCGACACCGCGGTTGCGACCGCCCTTGCCTTTACCCCCGACGGCTGTGCAAAGCAGCAGGCCTTCAGATTCGGGACTGGAAACACCGCGACTGGCATCCAGGCCGTTACCTCGGATGCCAGGCAGCTGATCTTGCTTTGTTCTATGCAGACGAAGATTCTATACTAGTAATACTAACACCAGACAATCTTATCTTATCTATTCATCTTATTGAGCTACACAGCTACAGCTTTTTCACGACAGTAGCCTTCTGAACTTCTGTTGTCCTCCCTGCCAGCAGCCCCAGTCGGCCTCCGTTCAAAGACCAAGGGTGCCTGTTGTCACTGCGAGCTACCTCCACATCCTGCTGGGCTTTTGGTTGCGCGACTGATGTCTTTGACTCCAGCCCACGCTCGAGGCCACAACTGCCACCCCAGTCTTTGAGATGAACAAGCCTGCGTCGATCCTGTTCTCTGGCCGATCTCGACGATTGGGGCTTTCCAGGGCAATTTGCATCGCGTCTGCTGAGCCTACCCCCGGGCGATGTGCTGTCTGTGATGTCGTGCGCACCCGTCGCGCACCCGTCAGCCCGCCGACTCCGCCCCAGCGAGTTGGTGATGAGATGCCCCAGCGTTGCCGACATGCCAGCTCACATGCCACTCTCCGGAAGACTTGACAAATCTCGTTCCAAGAATCGGACGGCTATTTATGATTGCCTATCGGCGAAGAACCGACGCATTCTCGGAAAGAGCACCCACCCCACGTATATAAGATGTAGACCAAGTCAGATTACAATATGTACAAGCATGCCTTTACACGCAAGAACCCCGGAAACGCAAACCCCAATCTTTTCACGTCATCCCAGCCGAGGCTGCTGAACGCCGATATCAAGCGGCGGCTGCTGCTGGTATTGCTGCTGCCCTTTCCCTTCACTGGTGCGTTTCCGCAGCAGCCGCGGTCGGCGTTGCCTCGCGATTCAGGACCACTGCGTCTTGTCCCAGGATGGATCCTGCAGGAACGCGCCAAGCACCTTGCTCCCCGTCTACGACGGACGATTGATAAGCCGCGCGCACGAAAATGGCAGGACGGTGGCCAGATGCGGATGCACGCACCTGGAGCAGCGGATGCCCCGCAACGACCGTCAGAAAGCGCTCCAGGCCCTCCCTGCGTGCTTCGATAACCTCGTCGGAGAACCGGTTGGTGAATACTTTCCCCGGGAGCGGGGGGATGATGCTGACGCGCGTGGACTCGCGCTCGAGGATGTCGTAGAAGGCTTCAAAGTCCGAGTAGCGTCGGCGAACAGTCGAGTGGCGGAGTTTGAACGCGGGGATGTTCGTCTGGGGCACAGGGTGTGAGCACGGACCGGAGGTGGAAGCGGTGCAGCGCTGAGGCTGCTGCTGCTGCTGCTAAGCAGTACACATCTTGTGGCGTACACACCTTGCATACGATCTCGTAGTCCGTGTACATCTTCCGCCCGAAGCCTAGTACCACATCAGCCTCCACCTGTCTGTCCATCTTCGAGTCGGTCTGTCGACGCACCGTGCGTTTGCGGATTCCGGATGTCGATTTCGAGGAAGCTTTCTGGCACGCTGTACATCTCCTCGATCTGTGCATGCCTTAGCTCGAGACTCTTCCCAGATTTGGGAGGCAAGAACGCACGGTTTGCGTTCGCGAGCCAAATTGGGGCTCGTCATAGATAGACGAGCTGCGTGCGAAGGGCGAGGCGGCCATTGGTGGCAGTTACAGAGAGAGTTGTTGGTGGCTTCGAGCTGTCAAAGGTCACTGATTGACGTATTGTGACTCATAGCAGCCAGACTTTCCACCTCGACCCTGAGTCGAATCTGGCAGCTGAAGTGGTGCGAGCGCTCTTGATCAGTCAGTCACCAGGGCTACAGAGCCTGTTCAACAACCCCAGTGAGAAACGGGGGCACGGACGTCATGACTCCCTCGTTGCATGGTCGGGATGGTCCCCCCAGCTCTTCGGGTGCTTCGCACACTCCTTCCTACTCCTTCACGTCGGCGATTGCACCGGCGGCTGATGCAAATTTTCCGGCGCATGATCCGCCTCTCTCATTGGCCGAACGGGAGACGATCGGCCATTGCCAATAGCGCCCATCATGGGTGTGTCAAATAGCCATCATTCTCATCGCCTGCTCTTGTCAAGTATAAATAGTTTCGTAACATTTTGATGCCATGTCGTCCTTGTTCCTCGTTCCCCTTCGCTTTCCTCTCCGATGCGTGGCGTCGTCCTCCTTGTTTCTTTTCTTCACTGTGTTCAGTCGTCGTGGGCGTTCAAGTTTGCCATCGCGCGTCCGCCCAAGGCTTCTTCTTCTTCTTCCACGGGCGGCGACAATAATCTGATTAATAAGGGAGATCAGCGTGTAAGTGCTGGAGTCCGGGATCCTATACACTCTCTGACGGGAAGATAGTACACGGCCAATATCACTATTGCCGGGACTGGTGCGTCCTCATGGTGGTCTCGAAAGTGTCCCGTGCCTTGTCCCTGACTGCCGCCCAGTTGTCAACGTCATCCTCGACACCGGCAGCTCCGACCTCTACGTCCATCCCCCCGGTGGTCTCTCCTCCAACCTCTTCAACGACACTCGAATCCCGGCTAATCTCACCTTCGGAGACGGGTCCGACTTCGTTGCAGGAGAAATCTGCATCGCGAAATTTGAGCTCGGAGGGGCGGTAGTGCCTTTCCAAGCTTTTGTCAATGTGCAGCAGGTGCGCGTCATCATTGATCGCGAGTCGGGTCAATTTGCGATCATATACAGGAATCCGCCGATAATCAAGCCGACGAGGCGGAGGCGATCTTTGGGCTGTGGGGACTCGGCTTCAATACCCCCGGCGCGTCCGTGGTGAACGACAACATCCAGCAAGCTTTCGGAGCCAAAGTCACCGACGGACAGTCTGTGCTGGCGAACATATTCCAGCAGAACCCCAAGTCGAATGACTTCCTTGCCATCTCTTTGTCCCGGCTGAACGACACTGCGGGTACGGCCGACGGTTCGATCGAAATTGGGCAGCTGGATCAGAAGTACACCGCGGTGTCGAAGTCTCCTGTGCTGGAGCAGTCGCCGCCGAATTCTGGTGCTTGGACGGTACCGATGGACGCGCTCAAAGTGGGCGGGCAGAAGATCGCCTGGCCGAGTACCGTCCAGGGAACCCTTGCGGGAAGCAATATCATCTCGCTTGATACGGGGTGCGTTTTTTTTTGGCTAGTTGTGGTTTAAATTGCGTTCTGATTCGGATATTCTGTCAGAACGACCAACGTGCTAATGCCCACTGCACAAGTCGACGTGAGCCGGCCACATTTCAGAGTCGTGCCCAACTGACATGCATGCACAGGCCATCTACTCGGCGATACCTGGTGCAGTGCTAACGACAGACAACTTTGTGCCAAACGTCCAATTCAGCGAGAGCCATGCTGTGTGGGTCGTGCCCTGCACAGCCCAAGTCGCCGTCGCCGCCACATTTGGGTGAGCAATATCGCACACGACCGCGCCACATTCTCACATCCCGCTTTTCCAGCGGCGTCGACTTCCCGATCCACCCGCTTGATCTCGCCGACATGACCATCGTCACAGCCCCTGACGGGAAAACAAACTTCACGGTCTGCATCGGCGCCTTCACCGACATCGGCACTCCGGATCAGATCTCCGGCGGCCGCTTTGACGCGCTGTTCGGCGACTCGTTCCTGCGCAACTCGTACACCGTACTCGATTTCGGAACTCAGGGAAACGTGCCCAATACTGCGCCGTTTGTGCAGATGCTGCCGACGACTGATGCGACGGCGTCGTTGACGGATTTCACGAGCGTGCGGCAGGGTCTGTTGAAAACGATGCCAACCGAGTTGACGCCGGTGGACCTGGTCAAAGTGATGAACGGCTCGGAGCGCGTGCCTTCGAGCTCGTCTTCCAGTGGAAGCGGTGGCAGCGGTCAGAAGAAAAACGATGCTGTTGGCAGCAGGACACGCAGTGGAATTGTTCCTGCTGCGCTGATGATCGCGATCGCGGGCATATCTGTTATGAGTATCTAATCTCTTTATTGGTTTCATCCCTATTTCGTGTCAGTCATAGGGCAATCAAGGGTCTACCTGTGTAAGTCTGACCCATTTACGTGTTCAAGAGCTCGGAATCAATATGCTGAAGCGTGTGTCATCCTGGCCCGTCAGTCAGGACCTGCTTTCAACTGGTCTGGGATCGGCCTACAGGTTCTGGTGACATTTGGACGACAGCATCAAAGCTCGAGCTCTGATTAAGGCTGAACAGAATTGGCAGTGTTGTGCTGACGAGCAAGCAGTAGGAAATCATCCTGTCTTTGGGACATGGTGATACTGCTGGGCTTGATGAAAGGCCGCTGGGTTACGGAGGAACTCAGATTCCAGTTAGGCCAAATCTTGCTATTCAAATAAGACCGCCTACATCCCAAATTCTACACGCAAACAAGATCTTACTGTCAGTTGAATCCAACATGACACGGCAAAAACTCGGGGCCTTCGAAGCCCTGGCCCATGGGACCTTTCGTGGCTCACAGCTGTGGCTTTGTTTGGCCGCAAATTTTGTGCCGGCGCCATGAGTCTATTCTAATTTAGCCATGAGCACTTGAGTCATTCGAACTACGTTTCCGACCGACCCGCACAATGATCTACACTGTCTCAGACTGCCGTCGTGGGTAGTGACCGGGGGCCTGTTCTACTTCCAATCCCCATAATCATGGGAAGATCATACTCGGGTATCCGCTGTGACAGAACACTCGCAATGATGGGACGTCGATGTTCAGCTCGAAAATAAGCACCGAGGGAATTCTACTACCCTTTACTCCGCGCACACACGTTTCCCTGAGACCTTGCAAGACCCGGCGCCAGCGGTCACAAGAAGCTCCAGATCTGTTCTCACCTTGAGCACCTTCCCGGAATCCCGTCCCTCATGTTTGATAAAGCTTGCTGTAGGATGCATAACTCGGAAACTTCCGTTTTTGAGCCCAAGGTTCGGAGCCGATGTATTGCGGAAGCTTACATGCGCGCAGGCAATGCCCGCAAAGCGGTATACAGAAATTGACACCGTGAACCCCACGTGACTTACCCAACGGGTCGCAAGTGATCGTCGCAATCCTTGCTCCTCGAAATCCTCTACCACACCACCAGGAAGGGCGCTGCACTGGCACAACGACCTAACAGACTGCTTTCACACAGGCCGCGAGTCGGGGCGATCAAGTACGTGTTCGTGCTCAACTGCATGCGTAGCTTGCTCTCTCTCACGCCAGTCATCGGGTAAGTCCTCACGAGTTACATAACTGGGCAGCGCGATGCTGATCGTCGCCGCGTGCATCGCGCACCGGCGTGCACCGGACTTCGAGGTCACACACATCTGAGCAGGGACGACGTGTGAAGCGGAGTTGGCGGCTGCTGCCCACAGACAGGCGGTGTTCCGGGCGGCGCGTGAGGGGCATCTGGCGGGATCGAGGCCTTTTGGGGCCAGATCTGCAGTCGTGCGGGTTTAGTGACTTTAGTCTCCTAACCACCGGAGATTAGTGATTGAAATGAGACTAGAAGAAGGATGATCGGTCGAGAGATAGCGAGGGAGGATCTCCAGCAAAAAAAAAAAAGATGCTGTTGTGCTGTGAGGTCCGACTACATGGCTCGAGCCCACGGCATTCCTGCTATGTGACTGTGAAGAGCGGCGTCCCCGATGCGACGAGGGAATGTTACCAATTAGCTCCATAAAGCTAGATTTGCGAAAGCTGTAGTACGAGACAAACACCCGCACAGACAGAAGCGGCCCCACGCTCGGGGGCCGTATCGAACATGAGCCGGGATTCTCCCGCATAACGCCGGCAGTTTGTAGGCGCTAGCTGGACTGGGCTAAAGAAAATTTTCTGAATAAATCTGTACTTCGTCAGTCTACTCCTCGAGGAATTGTATACGGGTATCCGAAGAAATTATTGGCAAAACTGGAGAAAGAACCAGCTGCTTGGGGCAGAGTGAGGCACTATGCACGTTGACTCCTGTCTCACAAAATATGGGGTACAAATGTGTGTGCTCGGCTACTACCTGACTGATCAGAATGCACAGATGTATGGAAGACGGTCGGATAGAGACGGACACGCGTGCTCAGCTTCTCGAGAGTGCAGGGCAGGTGCTACAAAGTTCAATCCACCGTGTTTGGTAAGTTCCGCGTCGCTACTGGCAACTTGAAGATCGACAGCAATCTTCCATGTGTTTTTTCAGCAGTGGGCTCACAATTCTGATTTCCCGACCACTGTGGAAATGAGTAGCATCGATAAGAGATAAAGAAGAGGAGATATTTCCCCCGGGATCACCAGATATCAAAACCACTGGTAGTACTCAAGGGCAAAGGCACCACCCCTGCTAAAGCCACAGGGAACGCCATCCATATCACATGAACACTCGCTGAGCTTCTTTCACTCTCCGAGTCGTCCTCTGAGCTGGAATGAGGCTATGTAACACTAAATTGGCACCCGGACGACAGCTTTGGTCCAATCAACTATGCCGGCCATCCATCCAGCCCAGTATTAGACATGTGTGCTTGCTCGAACTGGATCTTCGAAGCCAAGTCGTCCGGATGACATGCGATGTTTGACGAGGGTTCGATCCTGCAACGGGGAGATCGTGATGGATGAGATTGCACAGCATCCTGCCGGCATCTCCAAGCTCTTGGAGTTATGATGCGGTCTGTGTTGAAACACTCTAAAACCTTGATGAAATCGAAAATATGTCTCTTCTATCTTGTTTTTGCGAAAATAGTTCCTACGACGCGTTGAACATGCGGTGACCATCTTTTCACGGCATCCGTCCTCCTCCTAATGCTACGGGCTTTGGATAGGAAGATCGTGTCCGTAAAGATGTCGTAAGGCCGACATTCGGCCAAGGCAGGCTTGCGCGCGAACTTGTCTCGGAGAAATTTGAAGAGACGAAGCCTCGGGTCTACTTCCTTCCAACAGGTAAGCGGTGGATGGCAATCAATACCTTAGATCGTGAATAGAACAGTCAACACCCAAAGGGATATTAGAGCGAGGCAGCGAACATCGCGAGCCTCAAGGCTATGCGTCGATCATTCAGAACTTCTGGGATTGTTTGCGGGACATTTGAAAATCTATTGAAACCAGGCCTCATTGAAGAGGCCTTGAGTGGATGCGAGAGGCACGACGACACTGAAGGAGATGCGACGCACTCGCATTCTATTATAGCAAGGGTCGAGGCCTGAATCCGGCGTCCTGAATGCTTTGGAAGCCCGTCGTTTGATCTGTCGGCAGGCAGATGCCGATATTTAAAATCAAAGAAAGTCATCAAAAATTGTCAGCGGCATCTTAGCGTCATTTCGGATTTGTGGTCTCCGTCTCTCATCCGTCTCCATCCATACCTCGAAGATCAAGCCGGCTCACGATACTATTTAGATGCAGACTCATGGCCCCGCTGTGGTCTTTCATCCTTTTGTCCCTCCAAGATGTCCTCCTCACACTACGGCATTCCCTACATCCTCGAAGACACGACAGGGAACTTCAACGAGTCTGACTTCGTCGACATCAACGGGCGCATGCACCTCCGGGTCCAGTGCACAGCCAAGGACACCCAGCATACCTTTTACATGATCTACAACACCCATCACAGCTTGACTCCTGGGAGTGCGGCAATTCCATTGCCCGTTGCTGGGCTGGAATTTGGGCCGCAGCACGCGCTTGGGACGATCAATTTCGCTTCGCGGGGTATGCCGATGCGTAAGTACCTCGTCAGACCCGAGACAAAGGCCGCATCACTTGGGTTCGTCCGCAGCAGCTTCAAGGGTTTTTTCTGTGCAGGCTGACTCCTGGGCAGGATCAGCAGCGGCGGACACCGAGTTCGACAATTTCGCGCCTCGGACGGGCAGGTATACCAGTGGGCTAGGAGGATAAAGATGAATCAAGAATGGACGGTACGCCGCCCTCACGGACATCGCGCCTCTAGCTGACCGTGCTCATATATTGTGTCCGTTCTTCATTTCCTCATATATTGTGCCCGTTCTCTATCTCCCCCTCCAGTGCACAAACCTCAACGGTTATATCATTGCCTCATACAGCCTGAAGCCCCCAGGCGAGCCCACCTACCCGAACTCGTCCGGCTGTATCCTCGATATCGCCGAACAATTTGGCGGACTAGCCGTGGGTGCGTGACCTCGATCAGTGTTGTTTCCTATGAAAGACAGTCGAGTACTGATCGTGTTGTGTCTAGAAATTCTCGCCTCGCTACTTATCATGCGACACATCGTCGCGTACGATCTGTCGTGAGCGGCTGAGCGGTGACCGCTGTCTCCTTGTCAAACTCCGTTTTGTTTCATTCTCTGTCATTCCGCCGCAAGGCGCTCATGTTATTTCCTGTGCTCTCTCATCCATACGTCCGCTATACGAACAGTCTGTCATCATTGTAGATACCTAGTGTTGAATGTACATCCTCACCTGTTACAGTGTGAAACGAAGTTTCACGCCGCCACAGAGCCACCCCACACGGGTCCCATGGGAAAATTCGAGGGCTCCCAGTCACGGGCTAAGGTCCCAGTGCTTGGATTTTGCGCATCGCCGGGCCCCGGTCGACAGATCAAATTTTTGACATGGAGACCGAAATCAGTGGGCATCGTCTTTTCTGGTGATTTTGATTGCGCAGATCATCGGACCCCGCGCACCACCTATTAGAGTCCACGCAGTCAGGTGATAATCGGGGGAAAGTCCACATTTCCGCATCATTTGACCCGGCCCCTTGCAAAAATGGGTGTAAGGGGAGTGGAGCCCATGTCATTCCCTGACAGTGGGGTGAAATAGTTCCTCTTGGAACCCCAGGAGCCTCAGGCAAGGAATTTAATGTTTGATGGAGTTTTCTACATTTTTGTCTCTTCTGGCCAAATACTATCGATGACCCACTTCTGCAGACACTTTGATGGTGGCCTCGCTAGCTTGCATAACACACACCAAGAAAAAATAAAATTGAGGATACTAAAGTTAGAGCCCTTGAGACTGTCTTCATGAAATTTACTCGCTATCTGTGTGCAGAGGATGAAGCCACGCAGTTGCCGAAACAATCACTTTTCTTGGCGGGGCTGACCCCCCTTTTGCAATCGCTTGTCACACGGGGTCACACTTTGATGCAATCCGGCATGTCTCGGCAATGATGCAGCCTGACTGGAGGCGGGTCTCGGTTATTGCTTGTGGGACTTGAAAATTGATGGCCTCCATCACGCATGCTCCGTTCTCATGAACTGCGAGGACTGGACTCAGGATATATCAACCATGCGTTACTAGTAGCAAATCTAAGGGTGTGAGCTTTTTTCCGCATCAAAATCCAAAATCTCTGAGTCAAGATATGCAAAGAAGTGTTCTGAAAGTAGGTTTATGGTCTCGGGTGTAATTATTTCAAAATATGGAATGTATATATTTTACAGGAGCATTGAACAGCTATATATTAATCTCTGTGAGTCCATCCGGGACACGTTGAGAGATGTGGAAGCCCAGGAAATGTGTGTTTATCATGGATTGCAGATCAGGGTGCAATTGCAGATGTGGGTCAATGATAGTAATAGTAGAAAGGTGGGGGATAATCTGGACCAATTTAGTCCATTTGAATTAAAGTGTAGTAGGGTGTAATGGATTGATGGATGATGAATTGCACCATTGCAGCAATCTCAAGTCTCCAATGGCAGTTCTGAGGTTATAGGTATCAAATAGATACTGAAATTAGACATTCTACACATTACAATAAGTATTATCCATGGTGTCAGTACAAAAGGAGGTGATTTTGCTGTGGAAGTCAGAACATCACATTTCTGGTCTACTGGATGCTGTGACGGAAACATATCTTCTGACTGATTATATCATCGTGCTTACTCAACTCCTTGTAGACTACTGTTTGCAGACAGATAAATGATCGTAGTATAAGTAGGATAGGGTGTAGGAAAAGGTACCCTAGTCAATTTTAGAGCTGATCCCTGTCTCTCTCGGATTGATGACCCAATTCCCCGTGTGATGGAACTTGTTCAAGACGCTTCCGCCACATATTTTTGACAGTACTAGCTAAACAACTCTTCGCCCTGCTCTGGCCCCCGTGGATTGATCCCCCGCGCTCGCCGACTCTGACGAAGACCAACCAACAAACCCACAACCCCCGTTGATACCATGCAACAACCTACCCAACCCAACCCGACCTTCCCCGTACGTGCTCTGCGTCGCCGCAACTCCCGTGGCACCGCCATGACGACGGAGGAGATATCTGCGCTGCCTGCCAGAATCGAGGAGCGCCCCGCGACGCCGGAGCGTACCTATGCTCGCGTCGTATCCCCGGCTCCGGCCACCCTCCCTAAGCCCGTCAATGCGTCTCTGACCGTCGGCGGAGACATAGCTATTACCCCTCCCCGGGGGAACGCCCAGCCCGTGAAGTCACGGAGAAATCACCCCTGCCCAGCCCGGCCAGGGGAACACCTACTCGTTTTCAACCCTCAGTGAGGGATGTTGAAGATGAGGACGGACCCTGGACGGTGGCGACTGGTCGAACTGCGCGTACCCACCGGGAGAATGCCAGTAGCCGTAGGTTGAGTACTAGCAGTGTAGTAAGCCCCCTGCTAGATCACGGACTTAGCAATGCGGAGGAACTTACCTCGATAGTGGACGAGGCAGCTGCCTCCATGTCCCCCGAAGTCCTACGGCTCATTGCCAACCGATACGCTAGCCTCGCTAGCGCTGTCGAAGAGAGAACCCAAGCCCCGACGTCGGAGCTCGGCGCCGATACCCCTGAGTCCAAGGCTGAGTCAGGTGTGATCGAGGAAGCTCTGGGCGGGTTAAATGATAAACCCAAGACTGACCAAAGCAATGAGCGTGGACTCATGAGCGCAGGGCAATCTCCTTACCAACTGGGAGAGGCTGATTGGTCAGACAGCTCCCATGAAAAGGAACATCCGGTTGCCGGCCCCTCACGGGATAAGGGCAAAGGCCCGGATCCTGGTAACTGGGGAGAAATTGATATTCCGCAGCATGAGATCGATTACCAGAAGGACGCCTGGAGAGCGTTCGAGCTGTCTCGGGTAGAACGAGACGAGTGGAAGCGTAGGCTTGATGAAAATGGATCCCTACGAAAATCGGAGCCAGAGCGGGACCTAGGTCAATCACCCACTGAACAGGAGGTGATTAAGTCGGAGGAAAAGTCCGATGGGGCACCGGATGAAATGATTGGTCGAGACGTTTTTGAGCGTGAGTTCAAACAAATGAAAAAACGGTTAGCCGAGCTTGAGGAGCGAGAGCGCGTGAGGGAGGAATCTCACCTCACGGAGCGTCAGCCTCCAAAGCCCCACGGAATAGAAAGGCAAGGCCTGTCCACCGAAAGTAAAGCCCACCGGCTTAGTGGCAAGACCGGGAAGAAGCCCCAGCCGCCAGAGAAGGGGGCGGGGGGATTCGTGACGAGCGTGCTGCGTGGAGTCAGCCTGCAGCCATCGGACGACAGCAATGGGTCTAGTCCTGATTCGTTGTCAGATAACTCCGACTCGGACAGTGAGTTGTCAAGTGGCTCACCTGGCGGTTCGGACTCAGAGAGTGGAGGCTCGGACTCTGAGACAAGCTCGGATAGCACGGATTCTGATCATAGCTCCCGACGACTGAAGCGGAAGAAGGGGAAATCCCACCGAAGGCAAAAGGGGAGGATGCTTGTGAAGCCCAACCCGCCTGCCCGCTATGATGGCTCGGAGAATGCTGATCTGTACACCCAGTTTGTAGACGAGTCGAATAGATATTGTGAACTGGGGAACGTACCTAGGACGCATCGGGTACCAATAATTGGATCGTTCTTGGACGGAGATGCCAAGGACTTCTACAATCGTCGCATTCGGGGCCAGGAGCATAAGTGGACCTTGAAGAAAATGCTCCGGAGGCTCCTGAAGTATTGTTTCAGTCTGGATTACCGTCAGAAACAACGAAAGCGACTCATGCGTTGCCACCAGAACGGGAAATCAGTGAACAAACACGTTCTGGAGCTCGAAAGCATACTGCTACAAATTGGCTTGAAGAAGGATCGAGAACGCGTAGCGCTCCTCTGGAACAGCTTCGACGCCGACATCCAGGAGGAGTTGTTTCGGTTTGGCCTTGACCCCGAAAGATCAAGGTGGAAAAGAGTGGTGGGAAAGGCCATCCGGGCTGAACGCTTCCTCAGCCTGGACAAGCGACGTAAGGGAAAAAGCTTAGCTGTCACGCCTTCGAACGCTAGCCCGGGCCAGCCTGGTCGAGACCGAGAAGAGAAGAAAAGAAGATTCTTCCCGCGGAGACATGGCGGAGTTATCAAGACGGCAGCGGCCGTAATGGTGCAGCCTCAGGAAGCTGAGCCTAGGAACCCCGCTCGTCTCTCTCACGCACCACACTCCGCTCTGTCGCCAGGAAAAGCCCCAGATAAAGTGGTCGATCGCCCTTGGGAGCGCCGTTTGTCGCCGCAGAAACGAGCCGAGTTGATGTCCCGGGGGGTGTGTCTGAACTGTGAGGAGTCTGGGCATATGGCTCGCAGTTGCCCCAAGCTGACGACCATGAAGTCGAAGGTAAAGGGAAAACCGCCGGGATTTGGGGCGCACGGGGTCAGCCTGCGACTGGCTGCCCTGGGTGAGACCACGGAGGTGTTCGAAACGCTGAACGTGGCCAGTGTGCTCCCAGCCGGTTTCCGCAGCGAGGAAGTCACGCAGGACCTGGATTCAGACTCGGATCTCGATTTGCAGGGATGGGTGGACGCGGAGGAAACGGACAGGGCAGCTAGTGAAGAGTCGAACTGGCCGGAGTTGGAGGCTCTAACTAGAGGGATTGAGGCGCTATCACTGGGCCCGAGCACTGCGAGCCCGAGCATTACGAGTAAACGGCCCAATCTGGATGTCCTGGACCGAACGCTGGAGGCGTTGACAACGCAAGCTTCCCGACCGGTAGAAGCCTCGGAGGGCGGGATAGGGGACTTAGTGGCGCGTTTCGCCAGTCTGGTTCTCCAAAGGTGCGCTCCGTTCCCGGGGACGACGGATCTGAGCCGACTGAGGGTCGTTTCTTGGTCTACCGCGTGCACGGAACAGGATACCACTGCATCCTGGATTGTGGCACTCCCCTGAACATATTGGAGGGCGACGATCTAGTCTCGTCGGCTCTCCTGAGTGACCCAGATTTCGAACTGGGATGGTACTGGGCCCAGAAGTGTTACTTGGCCCAGGGGATTCACCCGGACAAGCCCAACTTGACGTTTCCAGAACGTTATTTCCGTGCGTTAGGCGACTCGCTCCTCGCCATGTTGCTCATCTTACTGCAGGAGTACGACACGGAGACGTATAACAGCGACGCCTCGTCGTTTGAAGGGAAAGGGGACGCTTGGGGCATACTGGCAGTTCGTCGTCCGAGTGGAACCGGGCCCGTATTCATTGATCGTGTATCGCTAACTGACAATAATTTCAATCTACGGCATTGGTACAATGCACATTTCGGACCAAGCTGTTGGCCGACCACGAGCTTCCTACCACAGGACGAGGCCTGGTTTGAGGGTGAAGATGTCCCGGCGTTGCAAGACGACGGAGAGTCGTCTGACGAATCCGACGACAATGACAACGGGCCGCAGCAGATGGCTACGCGAGCCTGGCTTGACGCAGCCCGCCAGGCAGGCCTAGACGCAAAACCACGGCAGACCAGCCAAGACCAGGAGCAGTCACAGAAATGGACCGCAGGAATGTCCAGGCCACGAAGTGACACGCGCTTGCCCTGGCTGAGTACTGGTCACGACTGGCAGTTAGGCGACTTGATGGCAGACGGTATCCGCAGCTTTCTGGAGTTTAGTCAGCCATACCCCGGGGATGACAAGACGGAGAAAGACACAGCGTTCCGGAGCGACAACCGCTTTTTGGTGTGCACCTCATGGTGTGGGGACGATTACACCATCAAAGACCAGGTCAACGGGCTGAGCGTAAACTTACCAAAGCACCTGATACTGGATGCCCGCTTTGAGGTGGCCGCGTGGTATGCAGAGTAAGTAAGACGTAACCTGGGTATAAGCGACATAGACGGAACTGGGGTCCAAGCCCATCATCGTGTGGCTATTAACGATGTATTGGGCATGCAACTGGGGTTTTACATGGATAAAATGGCCGCCGATCACCCAAACGAGTGCGGGAACTATCTGAGCGTTGAGCCCGGGTTCTGGAGCGACGAGAACGAGGGGGAGACACTCCCCTTCATGTACCTGATTGAAGTAGGACTAGACGACGGGCGCGTCAGTCAGATTGGCGTGTTCCGGGCAAAGCTGTTGAACACAAAGTTGGACCTGGTTAACCTGCTGGTGAGGGCACAGGAAAAGCGGTTGCAAAGGGAAAACGCTGAATCGGCAATTACGACAATGCCGCGGGACCGCTGGTGGTTGACTTATTCCCGGAGCGGCGTGGAGAAATGCACCCCGTACTTGGGTTGTCATGGTGTTCAGATTCCGCCGGACAGGATGGCAGGTCTTACACGAACCGCTTCGCTTCCGAGGACGAAGAACACTGTGGTTGCTAAGCCATTGATCATAGTCGTGCAGGTGAACGGGCATCCCTTGCGTGCACTTGTGGATTCGGGGTCCCTCGGGGATCTGATTTCCACGACAGCAGCAGACCAGCTTCGCCTGCCTCTGAAGAATCTGGCTGAGCCATTGACTCTGCAGCTGGTAGTGTAGGGTTCTTGATCTAAGATCAATCATACCGCAAACGTAAATGTGAAGTACCAGGACATAAACGGACCACGGACCTTCTTCGTTGCCAACATAAGTGGGTATGACATGATCCTGGGGACGGCTTGGCTGTTCCAGCATCAAGTGAGCATCGGATTCAACCCATCCAGAGTCTGCGTTGGTGGCGCCGAACCTCTGCTGTTGGAGGGCGTCGCTACAGCGCGCCTTCACACGGGCGCACTGGAAGTTGAATCGAGCGAGCTGGAGCGGGTTCGGGATGAACTCAGAGAGTATGCAAAGGACGTGTGCCGGGTGGCGGCGGAAACGGAGCTGCCCCCCTTGCGCAAGATCAACCACGAGATCCCCCTGATCGATCCTGGAAAGATTATGCCCTGGCGCATGTCGAGGTGTCCGGATGCGCTGCGGCCTCAGTGGGACAAAAAGAGAAGGATATATCTGAAAACGGGTCGTTGGAAGATCACTAACGCTGGTAACACCGTACCAATGCTATTGATACCCAAAGCGAAGTCGAATCCCCCGCGCCTCCAAGTGGTAGTGGATCTTTGGGAGCGTAACGCTAACACACGAAAGATGGCGTCTCCACTGCCCAATATGGACGGCATATTGCGCCGAGTTGCAAGGTGCAGATATCGCTCGCTAATTGATGGGCAGGATGCGTACGAGCAGATCCGCGTAATTCCGGAGCACGTTGACCGGACTACCATGACTACGCCAGATGGCAACATGGTCAGCCTGGTCTTACAGCAGGGGGACTGCAACGCCCCTGCCACGTATCAGTCGTTGATGAACTACTTGTTCTCCGATTACATAGGGCGTTTCATGGATGTGTATTTGGACGACATAATTATATATTCCAATACGCTGGAAGACCATAAGAAACACGTGAAACTAGTAATAGACGTGTTAAAGCAAGAAAGACTGTACCTTGGCGAAAACAAGCTCCAGTTCTTGAGGCAAGAACTGAAGGTGCTGGGGCGTGTTATTACGGATGAGGGTATCAGGATGGACAGCGAGAAGGTCGACACAGTGCTGAACTGGAAAACGCCCACAAATCGGGACCTCCTGCGTGGATTCCTGGGTTCGGTGGGATACCTGGCAGACGATTTGGCGCGAGTGCGTGTACCCATGGGGGTCTTGCATGGCCTCACCGGGGACACGGTCCCCTTCCGCTGGGGATACACACATCAGCAAGCCTTCGAAGATATCAAGAGGATTGTGACTGACTTGAGGAACCATCACCGGGTCCCGCTGGACTATGGGCCGAAGGCGGAACCCATCTTCCTGGTGACCGATGGATGCGCAACTGGTGTGTCCGGCGTGGTCTGTCAAGGGCGGGACTGGAGGAGCGCTAGAGTCGCCGCCTTCTACTCGGCGAAGCTCAACTCCGCCCAGCAAAACTACCCCGTTCACAAAATTGAGATGCTGGCCGGGGTCGAATCAATGCTTCGGCATCGCGACATACTGCAAGGATGCAAATTCCAATGGATAACGGACCATAAGGGGCTGACTCATCTGCTGAGCCAGCCAAACCTATCTGGACGCCAGGCACGCTGGGTGGAGAAAATATCGAGCTTCGACTTTGAGATAATGTATGTCCCAGGCCCGGACAACGTGCTGGCCAATGCGTTGTCACGAATATACTCAAATGAGACACCGGGGACAGTGAGAACAAGGTCAGAATACACATATCACGACGTTATAGACAACAACGTACTGGAGGGACATGGCGTCTCGATGCCAGTATTAGCAGGCCTGGAGGCAATGGCGGTCTCTTCCGACCGAGTGCTGAGGTCGGCCACGCGAGCAGCGGCGGCTGCCAGAAAGAGTTTGCTCGATGGAGCAAAAGGCCCGATGACAGGCCGGGCCGTTGAACAGAATACAGATGTTCCCACCCCTGGGGTTGGGAAGGAGGACAGGAGTCCACGACTGGAAAACAGAAAAGAGAGGGAAAGAGCAAACGAGGGACTGGAGGGCGGGAAACAGCCACCTGCCAGCCAGTTTGCTCCCACTGATGCCCAATTTGCTTCCGTTGATCGGACCTCGGAGCCGGGTTCCGCTGTTAGTTATCAACCTGACGAACCGGACACATCGCTAATCCCGGTGATAAGCCAAGGCCATGATGGCCTGGATCTGGAAGGGTTCATCCGTAACCGCTTCCATGAGGATAAATTCTTTAAAAGTATAGTAGACAGACCAAAGGACTACAAGAACTTTGAATTGAAAGAAGGCATCATATACTTGAGGGAAAAGGAGCATGTGGTTATATGTATCCCACAACTCGAGTACAATGGTCGGTCCGTGAGAGAAATAGTCATCTCAGAGGCACACTCCGTGCTGGCTCATTTGGGCGCTCGAAAAACAGTGGACTACCTTCGAGAACACGTCTGGTGGAAGACGCTGGTAGAGGATGTGAAGTCCTACTGCGACTCCTGCTCAGTGTGCAAGCACAGCAAACCGAGTAATCACGCACCGTACGGACTGCTTAATCCACTCTCGATACCACAGAGACCCTGGGAGTCAATAGGAGTGGATTTCGTCGGACCATTGCCAAACTCCAAGAACCGAGACAGCGTATTTAATTCGATCACCGTGATTGTGTGTCATCTTACCGGGATGGTGCACCTGGTGCCGTGCCGGGTGTACTATACCGCCAGACAATTCGCCGAGCTAATGTTTGAGCAGGTGTACAAACACCATGGGCTCCCTAACGCAATAGTAAGCGATCGGGACGTGCTTTTCACCAGTACATTCTGGCAACGATTGAACAAATTGATTGGCACAAACCTGAAAATGTCAAGCGCATATCACCCCGAAACAGATGGAGCGACGGAGCGCGCAAATCGAACTGTTACGCAGCTTCTACGTCAGTGCGTGAGTAACAAACAAAGGGACTGGGTGAGCCGATTACCCGCTGTTGAGTTTGCCATGAATATGGCCCGATCGGAAACGACGGGGTATTCTGTCGCAGACAATACCGCGCAGTGGAGATACGACCAGTAGCGATCACCTATAAGACAGAGTCTCAGCGAGTGTAGAGACACAGGAGCTATATCATTAGCTGTACCTATAAGACAGAGTCTATGGTACAAGTCATAAGTAAGGTCATTAGATCGTAAGGGAGAATGCATACCTCAGCGAGTGTAGAGACACAGGAGCTGAGGATATGGAGCGTATAGTACTAGGTTTATATACCAGTCTGGAGCAGATATCATGATGTCATAGTGGAGTAATGATATCATAGATGAGTAATGGATGACGCAATAATGATGTCAGGTATGAGGTCATTGTGGAGCGAGCCAAAGTAATCTAAGAATACTACTTATGATGTCATGTCTACATACTGTGATAGTCACTTTTTCAAACAAGCTTCAACACTCCCACTCGACTAAACAGTCGGATCACGAAGACCCAAAGACAGCCGATGTTGTTGGAACTTCACCCATGCCAGAGACTTTGTGAGCGTGTCGGAGATCATCGCATCAGTCGGCACATGGTAAAGTTGGACATTGCCAGCTTCGACGGATTCTCGTACGAAGTGATAGCGGATGTCGATGTGCTTCGTCCTCCTATCATGAACTGGATTTACTGCCATAAAGATAGCGCCTTGGTTATCAACACAAAGAGGCGTGGATGGCAAGTCATATCCGAGCTCAGTCAACAAAGTGCGGATCCAGGCAATCTGGCGTGTAGCATTGCTCAGAGCCATGTATTCGGCCTCTGTTGAGGACAAAGCGACCGTGGGTTGGCGTCTAGAAACCCAGGTCACTGCACAACCGGCGATAAAGAAGGAATATCCCGTGGTTGAATGCCTGTCGTCTTTGTTCTCCGCCCAATCAGCATCGGAATAACCGATAAGGCCTGCGCCAGTGGAACCATCATAGCAAAGTTGGTAGTTTTTGGTGCCCTGAAGGTACCGGAGTATGTATTTTGCCATGTTCCAATGATGTTCTGACGGGTTGCTGTTGAACTTTGATAGATGGATGACTGCATAGGCAATGTCGGGGCGAGTACCAAGCATGGCGTATAGAAGGCTGCCAATCAGTTGCTGGTATCGGGTACGACGGTCTTCATCAACTTCTCCATCATGCTTCTCGAGCACGATGCCGGAAGGCAGGGGAGTACGAGCTTCTTTACACGAAGACATCCGGAATCGTTCTAGAACTCCTTCGATATAGGAAGCCTGATCGATCCAGATTTTACGCGCTTTGCGATCACGAACTATGTTCAGACCAAGGAAATCCTTTGCAGGACCAAGATCTGTCATTTTGAAGCGGTTCGCGAGCAATGATTTGATCCGCGCTATCTCCGGCAGATTGTTGCCCATAATGAGCATATCGTCAACATACAGCACCAAGATGATGACCGTATCTCCCATTTGTTGGCGATATGTGTAGACACCGGCGTCGGAGTATGTCCGAGCAAAATCAAGTTCGAGGAGGGCATTGTGGATTTTGATATTCCACTGACGAGACGCCTGTTTCAACCCATAGAGTGATTTACGAAGGCGTGCCACCTTTTCTTTTGGCCATGACGAGAAACCTTTGGGTAATTCCAGAAGTTCCATATAGATTTCTTCCTCCAGATCCCCGTTTAGGAATGCCGTTTTGACATCCATGGCATGAATCTCCCAATCTTCGAGAGCAGCCAGAGCCATAAGTATGCGCAGAGATTCGTAGCGCAATACTGGCGAGAAGGTCTCATCATAGTCAAACCCATGAACCTGAGTGAATCCCTTGGCAACAAGTTGTGCTTTGAAACGACCGTCACGCTTCCTGCTAAACACCCATCTGCATTTGACAGTCTTTCGACCGCTGATAGGCTGGCTACCAGACGCGCTCTGCACCAGCTCTGTAAGGGCGTATTTTTGCGCTTTTTACAGAGTTTACTCTTGAACCACTCGGTGTATCGTGTCGCGGTTAACAGTGTTGCGCTCAGTAGGACTTATGGGTCTACTGCCCAGTCGACGACTGTGGATAGTGTCGACGATAGCAAGGCAGTCAGACCACTACTGTGGAACTGGTCTTACGAGTCTACACCAGGCTCAGGGCCATTAGTGACGAACGCTTGGACCGCGACCATTCCCCAAAAAGGGATATGTCGTTGCGTCGACTTCTCAAAAAGGGTCATTCTCTGCGGATGGGAACTTGGGCTGAAGGGCTGAGCAATGCGCGACGTTCTCAATAATAGAACTACTACTGGACAGGACTTGGCGTTACAAGACTTAAACCATCTTGTCGCGGCAACTCCCGGTTTTGAGTTGGACGTTTCCTCAGATCATGCCACGACAACGACTTGTCACATGTCAGGATCCATTCGATCACGGGACATTGTGGACGCGTCGCGGTGACACTTCCAAGTGTCACGGCGAGTCGCGTCCATACTCAAACACACTAAAATCGATACGGCTAGATCCGTGAACCGAGCCATGTGGGAGACGATTGGCGTGCCTAGAGCCATACGGCTTCTTGGGGCGCCCACGTTGGTCTCACATGCCAAGACATACCCGTTGGCCAATCCAGCACGTCGTATTCCGAAAGTATGACGCGGTGAGTTGGCCCACATCAAAAGTATCGTATGGACAATGGGGCGGGGTCCTGATCACTCAGGACCTGTCCGATCGTTCAACTTTTCAATTACCCTAAAAGGCAACCGATCTTAGATAGCGTAGCTACTATGCAGTTGTACAGGACTTTACTAAGCAGCGTCGTAGACAGTATAAGTAGCACGTCGTCTCTTTGTATTAGGAAGCTTTCCCCCGGACTGTGAATCACTCTCATTTCAGATTGTTTTGTACAATTTGCGTGCCGCGTGATTCCACCCTAAGAAGTTCTGCTACCCCTGCCCGGTCGCGACGAGTTGCTCCCTGAGCACTTGTAGCTACTGTGATTTGAGTTTGAGTTGAGACATCAGAAAGTCGGATTCGCCGCATCTGGTTTAGCCGCGGCATTTAGTGTCGTCGCCTTCGGGCTTTGTTGAGATCGTTCCACACCTCTAGCTTGGCAGTGCGTCGACTAGTTGTGCTCGGGTTGTTTTGGTCAGTTGACAGTGCGTCGACTTGAGAACTTTGGTTCCACACTTCTTGCTTGGCAGTGCGTCGACAAGTTGTGCTCGGGTTTTGGACATTGGATATTGGCTGTTAGTTGGCAGTGCGTCGACGCGGCATTTTGGTTTACTAGTTGGCAGTGCGTCGACTCAGTACTTTTGGTTGTGTCAGTTGGCAGTGCGTCGACTCGACATTTTGGTTTTACTAGTTGGCAGTGCGTCGACTCAGTATATTGGTTGTATCGGTTGGCAGTGCGTCGACTTGATATTTGGGCTTTGCGTCACCATCTAGACGCTGTCGCTACAAGGGATCTTAATACTTCGTATTAAGCTCTGACTTGTTATATTGTTGTTGTGGATTGGATTAGTGTTGGTTGTGATCGTATAGAAGATATTGGTTGAGACACCATTGTTTGCTATATATATATATTCTTGTCGTCGACTCCGTCTCCGCGACTATTGGATCTGCGTCTATTGAGAGTTGTGATACTGGTGCTCTGTCCACCCCGAAGCCCTCGCATCTTTCACACACTGAGAAGCTGATTACGAGGAGTGTGAACGTGTTTATATTTGGGTTTACTTTCATAGTAGATTCACTTGTGAGCACGCCCTCAGCATTTCATCTGGAGCCCACCGCGAGGGGCTTCTAAAGTTTCATAAACTTTAAAAATCAATAAACCGGATTCTTTACCGCGACGTCGGATAGAGACCAAGGGTTTATCCCTCGAAGCAGTTTATTCCGATCCCAAGCTCCTGCGCGACCTCTTGAGGACCAAGCGGAGATTGAGACTGAAGGAAACGCTTCAACCTCAGGACCTTTCGAAAAACCACGAAGGTCTGCAAGACATAAAACACCTTTGTATCTACCACCCTTGCCTTCCAAGGCAAAAGGAAAACAAAGAGTGAATTCGACGTCGAAGCTTCCAGCTTTAGACGCGGCTACTTCGAGTTCGACGACAATCAGTCGATCTCAGACTAGCTCACAAACCCTCTCAGAATTGTCTAGTAGCGTCACCGCTACAAACACGAATTCTAACAACATCCCTACTTCCCCTGTGACTTCAGTCGCGACAACTATGGCTCCAAAGACTGGGTTCAAAATCCCCCAACCTTGGGACACAAGTAGACCTATACTTGATGAAAAGGATCCCCTGTCGATTGAGGCATATTTGCGTCACTGCGCGCAGATCGTGGAGGATGGTGGCATCACAGATACCAAACAAGCAAAAAGCATGTACATTCGTTACCTGCCGTCGCGGCAAGTAATGGACGTATGGGAAGGTCTCGATACCTATTCCGACGACACGAAAACTGTCGCGGAGTTCGAGGCCGAAATATTAAAAGGATACCCTGAGGTGTCCAAGCGAAAAACGGGGACCATGGCGGATCTAGATAGACTCTGTCGCGAGAACCGTGGAATCAAAATAACGGATGAAGGAGATTTGAAGCGTTTCGGCCTTCAAATGTATAGTCACTACAAGCGACTGTCAGTCCCTCCTGCCATTATTACCAACAAAGTCGCGTGTGAACGCTACATGCGTACTTTGGACTCTGAGTTCAGTACCATCTTGAGGAACGCTTTGGCTACGAGTCAAGTATTCAATAAGCGCTATCAAACTCGCGCCGGGATAGCAAACGCTAATGTCCCCGCGACTGGAGTCAATCGGCAGGACGACCCCATCCAGCTGAAAGAATTAATGACGATGGCGGAAGAAATGGCGTCGACGTTGAGCAACGAAGACGAAATTCCCATAATCGCGCGACCTCCCAAGGTTCGCTTCGACTATGAGACTAGTCCACCCAACCATGCTAAGGTTGAGGAGTTGGAAAACTCGATTTCCAACTTGAAGGACTCATTTCTTCTACACCAAAAAGAGTTACAGACTCAGTTGCAGGAAGCGCTGAAGACGTTCGTACAGACTGCTCGCGAAGCACCTATACAGCGGTCGCGGCCAGTAGGCAACAACTCTTCTGTGCCCCACTTTGAAAGTCGC